CTGAAACACCACTGGTACACGTGATACCCAGCTAAGGCATGCCCCAGCGTGGCAGCTGGCACGTTACTGAGGAGCCAGGGCTTTGTGCTGAATATTTCCTGTACCTGTAAAATGTCCATAGCCAACAGCTGTTGGGTACAAGAGTTCATGTTGATACTGTCAAAACACTTAATTACTGTGGGGTTTTGTGCATCTGCAAGCTTTAAAAGTGCTCTTCCCAGAGCTGTGAACTCTGCAGTTGCCACTGTTTTCCTGTGTGATTGTTGGTCATGGCAGTACCTGTGAGAGGTGTGCAGGAAACACCAGCATCTTCTTTGTGGCCGCAGTTGTGTTCTCGCCAGGAGCTTTTTGGACACTGTTCTATGGACAGTTCATTTCCTGTACACTGCACTTCATCCAGCAGCACAGGGCCAGAACCTTCTCCAAAGTAAGCCTGGCCCCATGCCTTGGCAACACCCCTGTTGAGATGTAAGGAACAAGCATGCTGAAGACTTCCCTTTTCTGTGCCTTTTGAGTTTTAAGCATGACTTTCCTAGAAGGGATTATAGATGTACAGCTTGGGTATGAGGATTCCAGTTCTCATTTTCATTTCACGTTTATACGTAGTAAAAATAATCCGATATATATTTTTATAGTGACTTTCATCTGTTGTCCTCAAATCACATTAATCAAATCTCAAATACCCAGATGAGACAAATAAAAATGATTGTTCCCTGTTTAGTCATGTAAAAACCATGACAAAGTAAGAACAGAGAGCAGACCAGTGCCTTGTGTGGGGTATACTATATATCAGCACAGAGGATTTTGAGCACAAAAAACTACATCCTTGAGATGTGCAAACATTTCCTGAGTGCCTTACTATTCTTTCTCTTGTTTAGGTTGTTAAGTAACTATCCATTTTTATATGCAGCATTAATTTACTGAATAATGGTATTTTCCAGTGATAGAAAAAAGAGCCAAGTCCTCCACCCCTCCTATTTCAGAAAGTGCTGCTTTTCAAAGTGGATGAAATTGTGAGTAACTGTATAGTAAACTGAGAAAATATAACCCATAGGATACACTTATTGCAAATCTTGGTATCCTATATGTATTTAAGTATCTAAATAAATAAACCCATCTTGGTTTTCCAGTGTATCTGGTACAAATGCTGGTTCAAATGTATAGAAAATGTTAGGGGAAAAGTGCTTATTTATTGAGAAGCTGGCTGGAGTCCAAAAGATCATGCTTAAGTACTCTGCATGCTGAAAACAAGTCACACTGTGATCTAGTAAGATTCTCTAGAGTTCCAGTTATAACAAGGGGAATTTGTATCAAGCAAAAAATATTTATGAAATGAAGTAATAACATAAGTTATCACTATTTTCCACCTGCTAGTGGTAGACTGATACTCTGAAGTTTTATAGGAGTGCTGCAGAAAAGTTGAAGGGGTGTGGGAGTTGCTTTACTTTTACAATTTCTGGCACATTTCCAGATGGATTAACAGTATGCAAATTTAGATTATTTTTAGTACTTCAGAACTGGTCTACTGCCACTGTTGGTAAGATTTCACTTCATACTAATAAGCACATTTGTCGTGACATGTTGCTTACTTAAGAAATTCTGTAAATCTCTAGACATATTTCAAAGAGACTTAGCAGACTTAGCACCATCTTAATACAATTTATTTTCTCAGAAAAATGAATCAAATTAGAGGCATCTCAGAACTGCAATGTCTGATTATTAAATGTAAGTAATCAAAAGTTTCAGTGGTAATCAGTAAGGAGGCAGGTTAAGAGCATTGCACTTGTCATGAGTATACAGAAATGCAAAGCAGAGCTTAGTAACTCCCCAGCTCAAACGCAGGAAAAGCCTGTAAGAAGACAGACTTTCAATTAGGTATTCCCCACTGAAAATGTACAGGAATAGAGGATGGGGCAAAAATAAAAATCTGATGTCAGAGAAGCATGTTTGTTGCCACATGACTCACCAGGAGATCTAGTAGCTCTTTAAGTACTGCACAGTTCTCATCTTTTTGAGCTGATTTGGGGGTCACTGGCACTCCAAGGCCTCAGTTACACAGCAAGTACATGCTGGGGGCCACCCATTCATGTCACAGAGCTTCCTACCTTCAATGCCACTCCTTTTAATCCATCATAATCACAATCCCAACAGGGTTGAACAGGAGACTTCTGTTCCAGTCTCCTCTGCATCTACCTACTTAGTTCTCACCCGGTCTGTCTCAGACATAATCCTCTTCTCCTCCTTGGGACACATCTAAGTATCATCTCTGCATCTTGCTCCTAGTTCTTTCCCTCTTCATCCCATCTGGCCTTTCACCCCAATTGTTCCCATCTCCTTCCTCTCTGATCCAGCAGTTCTCTTAGTCTCCCACTTCTGCAGCATCTTTCCTCAAATACCGAAGACTTCTCTTCTGTGTGGTATCCAAATCACCCCTGGCTGTTGAGGAGCAAGAAAATCCTGTTCTGCTGCTGTGACTGTGTTACAGACCATGCCTAGCTCAGACAGAATCACTGACAAGCTGAACTGTCAAAACTTCAAACAGATCTCTACCTTGGTATATGCAAACTGACAATCTTCAGAGACTCGTGATTTAAACAAATCTTGAGAGATTCTCACAGGCATGCCAAAAAACATATCCTTTCTGACAAAGCAGTGCTCTTACACCAAAGCAAGGAGGCTGTCAGGCTCTGCAGCAGAACTGATTGTAAGGATTTGAACAGTCAAAACAACTTCCTTCCCTTCACCTATGTTTTTTGATTGAAATTTTACAGAAATTGTAGTGAGTTTTTACTAAAATGTCAACATCTCTTCTGAGATACTTCCTTTGTCTGTCCTACAGAAAATTGGCCCTATCATATGACACTGAAAACTGTATCCTATAAAACAGATCTCCAGGGAATTGAAAGTAGTGGCACTGTACCTGAGCCTTCTGTAAATAAACTTAGTTACTGCTCCAAAGTATTAGTGCTATTTTAAAGGAGCATCTCTTGACAATTATGCTTCTCCTAGCCTCAGTTGTGTATCTGATAACTCTCCTGCTTTGCTGCTGGAATGAAAAAACACATAGGAAAACAAACCCAAGGCCAAGCTGCCGACAGACAACTTCAGCATCTGCATCATCCCACTGGTCATCACAGACAGTCCCCCACTGGCCACCGTGGTAGACTTCTACTCTTCCTTCGTGAGGGTTGCTGCCCCCAGCCAGCCGGATCGGAGTGAAGACAGGGGCTGCCACCAAACACAGGATATAGAAAAGGTCATTTACTTCCCAGAACAGAATCCTGATAGTAAAGAAAAAGGAAGATGTATAAATAGTTTCTCTGACATCACTTAAGAATCACTTTATTTTTTCTAGCTAGATGGAAAACTTGCAATTAGAGTACTTAGAAATTAATTTCCCTATGCTCCACTCTCAGTAGCTGAAGAATATTGCCCAGACAAGTATCCATACTGATCCTGAATTACTTAAGTGTCACAAAGCATTCACAGACACTTAGTGCTGTAAGGCCAAATCCTACAGACAGTCTGAGCAAAATTGTCTCTGCATAGGCTTGGTCCTGGAGGGTAAAACCTGAAGTAAGACGCAAAAATTATTTCATTAACACAGAATTAGAAATTCATCCTCATGTTTTCTCATTCCTGTAGAAATTCCAGTCAAAACAGTGAAATCTCATTGACTGGAGTCTCACTTTCATTCTGCAAGTATTGTTCTGTTTCTGGTCTTTTGAAATCATTAGCTCTCTTCTGCTGCAGCAAGAAATTGGCTTGAAAGCATCACTTCTGCAAAAGGCTGTAATAATGCAAACAGCTTAAAATCATATAAAAAAAAAACCCACATAATTGCTCTAGGTTATTTTAAAGTTTCATGATGTATAACATATGAACGATTAAAAATGTGAATAATTTTTGTGTAGCTTTCTAACCAATTAATGCTACTATTTCATCTATTTCTTGGCTTAAAAAATATTGAGGGCATTTCTCCAATTTGATGTTACTGTTTCACTGATATGAGATCTGGGTTTTTGTAATTAATTAAGAAAACTAGTTGCAGTAGAACATGCAAAATGTGAAAACATTTATAGTTTCCAGTTTCTTTAGGCAAAACTACTTCTATCGCTTTGGTCCTTCACCTTGCCTCCTAGCTTAAAAAGATTCTCCCTTCCCTCTGCTCTAGAGTGTTCTAAATTAAGACCAAGATGTTCTTTTAAAAGTCATTTATCAAAACATTGCTCATGACTAGGAGAACTTTGGAAGAGAAATGCACCTGCCTTTGGATAGCAATGTAAGCAGGAGGGCAAAGGCAGCACAGAAGTGGCTGCAGCCACACACGTTTTGGTTACAGCTGAAGAGATTGCCATTGCCAGCTCCTCAGCACTGCCAGCCCAGCCTTCCCCCAGCCCAGCAGCACCTCACGTCTGATGGCATCACTGCCCCGGTAGCTGCTGTTTAGCATATTGATTAAAATACGAAGAATCTTAGAAACATTAATAATACTTTTTCCTAACAAGATAATTTTGGCATTACAAAAAATTTGAGGGGAAACAATCATACTTTTACAGCCAGAGATTGTTGCTACTTCACCCTTTCTCACAACCTGCATCTCAAAGCAACAATTTGGTTGTTGTATATGGAAAGCTGTTGAGCTAGTTGCTGCTTGCACAGCACAGAGCTGTTTCTTTGAAGCAGTTAATGATGCAATGATTCAATCTGTTTCATTTTCCGTTCCAAGAAATCTTAATACTTCTTCTTATTTAATAATGAGTAAATATTACCACTTCTATTTAAATAAGATAAGGAGTTCACCAAACCATGTGTATCTCTTTTACCCAGGGAGGAGCTACATGTGACAGCAGCTGCCATTTTTTGAGGACATGTTCCATCCTGCCAGGTGTCTTTTTCACATAACAGTATGTTTTCTTCATCACCACGACAACGCACTTCACTCCAGAAAACAGGGATAAGGCCCAGTCCAGAAAATGGTATGTGTTTTGCTGTACCTTTTTCACTGTAAGAAGAATGACCAGGATGGGATATGAGAATGGGAGGAAGGGGAATAGGAACATTTTCTCATATATAAATCTTGGAGTAGAAAAGAAAGGGCTTTCTTCAGCAGTGTAAATTCATCACATTTTCATACAGTTCAGCATTGTCTTCTGCACAAAGCAAAGTAACAGATGTGACCCAGTTCTCACCATTTCATTGTGGGATATTTTAGTATAGTGTCTGTGTTGCTGCAGGGCCAGCTACATTCCTGTTCTCCCTGTTTTTAACTACAAAAATCAACACAGAGTCCTCAGTCCATAGCTTAATCTACAGTATCAGCCCACTGCAGTTGCACTTCCAAGGAAGGTAATGCCAAGAGGCCTTTCACCTTTATCTTCTCCTTTACTCCAAGAAAACATACCAATGCTCTGCCCATACATGTCATATGCTGTGGTTGTGATGATGGGACAGTGAAACCACCACATTCTCCATTAGATCAGGCCCACATCCATTTGTCCCATTCAGCCATTCCCACCCATCCACAGCTCCCTTTCCCTTCCATCCTGAATCTACAGCAACATTTATTGAGCCATCTTTTCTTCCATATAAAGCCCAACAAAATTATAACAAAGCCCAAATACTGTCGTATCAAAGAAACAGATGAGTGGCAGCACCTGAACAGCACCAGGAATACCTAGTCAGTTCACCTTGTGGTACACAGATCCAAATTTCTGCCAAACACTCGTGATAACAGAAACTTTGAACTGCTATTAGCTTGGGGCTTTTTGGCCTGGATTCAGCTTTGAGCCATTTCTGTTGAAAAGCCCAAACCATTCACCCGTATCACTGAACTACTTTTGCTAACAGCAGTCTCAGTCAACTGAAATGCTTAGGGTATGGGAGGCAAAAAGAACTTGCATGGAAATGAGGAAAGGAGACACTGCACGTAGACAGCTGAAGTCATAAGCAAAATCACGGCCTCCAGATGGCTGAACTTTTATCTCATCTAATCCTCATATTTTTATAAGTTGGCATGGTGTTTCCAGATTAGTATTGAACATTATAAACCAGCTTAGATTTTCTTCTGGCTGGCAGTCTTAAAAAGCGAAATAATCATTAGGAATGTCACAATGCAAGTCTGCTATAAAAGCTCCTTACTGCTTGTAGCAAGCGAAATCACTACTTTGGTATGTGAGTGAGAGAAATGTTAGAAAGGCAATAAAACCAGCCAAATTATGTTAAAGGGTCCCGTTGATTAACTCCATTCTGGCAGCAGTGGGAAGTGATGGTCAGTGAGGACAATGCAGAGACTTTCAACCTATCCAATATTCTGTAACTCTCTAAATTGTTGCCCTGAAAATGTAAAGCTGCAAAACTTGCCTGGTTTTGGGGTTTGTTACACATGTGCAACTCTGAAAGTAAACCACACAGATTATCTAGCTAGAAGAAGATGTGCACAACAAAGATACCACATTTTCCAAAAACCTAGGATAAATCCCAGATGTTTTTTGGCAGGTTGGGATGGATGATTACCAGGGTAACCCCATGCTTCTGAGAACCAGGAATTTTCCTGTGATTGGGAGCTCATGTGGAGTCTAATGCTGGACACATTTACATAGTTAGCAATTCAATAACCTCACTGGAACTGTTCTTAGTTTGCACATATATGTGAGATCAGGATCAGACCTCATATTTCTGCCCTTGTGGACATCTCCCAGATATCTTGTAGAGCAGTTTTTGTTTGCCCTAAGCTTTTTTGACCTGTTCACACATTTCAATTTGAAAGCAAAGCATCTCTCCTGGACTGCTCCTCTCCAGATGCCATATGCATCTTTGTGATGGAATACTGCATCTCACAGCAACCTCTTTGAAGTATAACGTGGCTGAAGTGAGCAAAGGATTCTGAGAACAACTTCAGCATTCAATAACTTCCAAACAGAAAACACAAGCATCAAACACAAAAAGCCCTCAGGATTGAATAAACAGGTTGCCCTTTATACTGAAACATCACTAGAATAAGTTGATTTTCACTCAGACTGAAACTTACCCAAGTGCAAGCTGTCGACACACGACTGTTGCATCATTATTGTCCCAATGGCTCCCACAGATTGTTCCCCAGATTCCATTCAAATAAACCTCCACTGTACCTTCAAACTCATTCTTGCCACCCTGGAGTCTCACTGAACCTAGTTAAAGAAAATTAAAAATGAAACAATTAAGCCTTCATGATATTCCATTGCTCAGCTGGTATATCCCACACAGAAGACACCAAACCTCATTTCCATCTGCAGAGAGAGTTCCTGTTTCATGTATTAGTGAGCTGCTTCCAAGAAACACTCTGGCACACCTAACGTACAGTGATATACAAAAGGATATAAACTTATTTTTTACATTTTGCTTCCTATACTGAAATTACATCACATTTCTGATCTTTCTGATGCTACAACTTAGCTAAAGATCTAGCAAAAAAAGGTTTATAGACTACACATAATTATTTAAATGTGATTTCTTCTCCCCAAATGAGCAAAAAGTACACATACACACACATATATATATGAATGTTATGCTTTTATCTTTCACAAAATTTCATTGAACTTAAGGGAATCAGAAACCAACCACATGGATTGCATAGTTGCTCTGACCCATTATGAATATCATGGATGTCTGCAGTTTATTTTAGCCAAAGAATGCATTTGTTCATACTTATTCTCAGACAGAAAAACATTAGATGTAGTCCTATTAATTTGTGAGAGGTCTTTACCAAATTCTCAGACAAAGCGAGCTAAAAGGAATAAGGAATTGTGTCTAAAAGAAGTGTGGGGGGGGAAATCTGCTTCTTGAGAGCTACAGAACACAGAAATCCAAGAAAATTAGCAGATTTTGCATTTTTCTGTTGCAATAGTTTTACTGGAGATGCCAGATGCATCTGCTGCCAAAGATACCAAGTGCCACTGGTGAAGGTGGGAAAATGCTGGTCCTAGGTATAACTCCACAGAGGCAGAGCAGAGAGCCATAACAGAGCAGTAATTCAATGGGAAATAATACCTTTCTGTTGAACTATCAAACAGCCCAACTGTGTGAATTAGTATTGCCTGAAATCTCAGTTAATCCATCTGCTTCTGTCCTGTGATCTACTTAGAAGCTACACCATCACCCAGTTTGCAGGGGGTTTAGCAGTGGGAAGAAATAGTCCATGTTTGTGGCAGCATTTCACTGTGTATGTGTTTATGTTTGTGAAAATAATAATAGTAATACATAGATCCACTTTTTCTCTCAGTTTGTGTCCTGGTTTTAATTAAGTATATTTTATAAACCACGAAGCCAAATGACTGCCAAATAACTGGAGGAATTAATTAACCTCAGACTTGGTTTTGCATGTTCCTTTCTGCCTCCTATTTACTTTCTCAACAGTAACCTACTGTGCAGTAAATTACAAACAACATTTCTCTCTCACTCTGTAACATGAGCTGAATAAGAGAGGATTATTACTGAGTTAATCATAATGATACTGCAGATAAAATGTTACACATTATCTGTCTTCATAGATTTTTTCTTTGTGTTTTTCTGTATATGCCACATACAGACAGAGTCTGGAACTCTGTTTATTTCTGCTCTTCACCAGACTTTTGTATAGACTATTATTTTCACTTGAAACATTAACTGCAGTCATAGCAAAGTGATTCCTGACATACCAGAAAGCAAGTTTGAAGATGTCATCTCCCAAAATAAGTTTACTTTAGTGCATGATTGCTTACAGTAGTGCATGACACCTACTGAAATCAATACAGTGTTTCCTGAGTACACATTACACAATGTTTCTGTCCAAATATTTGAATAAAGGAGTACTTGAAGAATAAAATTCTCTTCTAAGGTCTCCATGGCAGAATTTGGCTCACTCCTCTTTCTGTATTTACAGAATTCCCAATGACAGCAGTAGAAGAATTAATTCACATACACAGAGCAAAACACACAAGAAGATTTTTAAAGGTAATTTTAACAAATTTTAAACATTCTTGATTTTCACCTGATAAGTTAATCTGGAAAGAAATAAAAAGAAAACCTATTTTTCCATGTAACTAATACTAAATCTGTTGATTAATAGAGGTAACCAGATATATGGTATATGCACTTTGAAGTATGTATCAACTTATATCATATGACAAGTCATAATTACGTAGCAAACAAATCAAAGGGCACACTAATGAGAAAATTATTTCTCTGTTGTTTACTCAGAATGTTATGGTAATCACACACCTGGTAGTTACATTACAGGATCAAGAGATACATAGCATGGATACCTCATAAAGCACAACAGAACTTTAAAATCTAGACTTTCATTACAGTAGCTTATTTTTTCTTTCCCGTAATTAAAACTCTTACTGCGTAGTGAAACACAGATCTGTGTTTCCTGTGTAAATTGATCATAGGGAATTGCAAGATGACCAGCATGATCTGCCATCGTGCATGTTTATGCTGTATTACCAAGTATCTATCTGTGTGTTAATTTTTTTTTTGCAAGATAGTCAGTGTTTGCTTTGATAAGCACTTTAATTCATAGGCAGCAAGGAAACTAGTATTTAGCATGATGAAAAGGGTACTTGGTTAATTTTCAGTTTCAGTGGTTAAGTCTTTGCTGTTACATTTTAACACCTCAAGCCCATACTGCACCCCAACACCTGTGCTTCATTCTGTGCTGCCCCTAGAGCACAAGAAGCTCTGGAGAAGAGCATCTGAATTACTTAAAAAACAGGTCTGGCTTAAGCATATGCATTGGAGGCTCTAGGTTTCTGGAGGTGTACATAGAGTAGCATCTCAGTTTTTTAAGCTCTAAGTTTTCAGCTCTTCTAGTTACTGAACAAATCTAAACCTGCTGGGAGTAGAGCTAATGCAGGAGTATCTACTCTGGTTTTTATTCAGTGCTCTGAGAAACACTCTCAGCTTTCCACCAATTCATTATGGTGTCAAGCCTCTGCTTAAAGTGCTTATCAAACCTACACTGCCTCAACAACAGGGAACAGGAGCACTGGGATCCTGCCCATGGCTCTCTGCCCTCCTCAGCACTGGTCAGGAAGCAGAAGGATGAGGAGAGGTGAACACAAGAGTTAAAACAAGGGCACAGGACCATAAAGCAGGCCTACCAGACAGCTCTAGGACACATACTGTGGTCTTATTACAGACTTAATTCACTCCTGTATTAAAGAATATGAATCTACTGTCTTGAAAGAAACTCCTTCATTTATAAACACTCAGAAGATATGTATGCATTTCTTCTAACTGTGTTCTAGCTGAGGTTACTGATGGTCAATTCATGTTGTTTACATGCAGTCTGGTAATTTTAGTTGTCCTGGTATCTGCCCAAGTCAGAGTCTTTCCTATCTGCTATCACTGTTTAAAGGAGATTAAGTTATACTTGCAAATGCAAGGAAGTAAGGGTATCCCGTGGGTGCTGCTGAGACTTGCTCCACAGCACCTGCCATATAGGCTCAAGATGAGACACTCAGGAAGAAAGGGAGAGGAAAACCACTCAGCCAACTTTTAATTAACTCCAAAAAGCAGAAGAACTTCAAAGGAATTCTGCTGTTGTGCTTGGCCTCTTTTCCTACACCATTCTCATGTGCAGAGATGCTGGCTAACTTCAAACCCTGTTGTATTTTTTGCATTTCACTGGGAAGAGGCATTGTTACTCTGTGTGGCTGAAACAGAATGGGAATCACTTCCAATTCTGCTGTACATGTAAGTGCTGCAGCAGTGGGGTTTATGGTGTTGGCTAAAGATATGCTAGTAGTTCCTTCACAAACACCTGTGTCCAAAGGTTCATAATTTGGCTGCAAATGCAGATCTGGAAGAGGGGTCAGAAGTAGAGGTTGCCTGTGCCTTTCACCCTGGTGCTGGGTGCTCTGAAATGGCAGCTTGAAAGCAAAGCAGAAGTATTTTGAATTTTGGAGATCTGTAAAAACAGCATATATTTTTATTTCTGCTGTAATTTCCAAGGTGTTCCAGCATGGGATAGTATCACAGAAAGGCTCTGCATTGATAGGCTCTGCACTGATACTTCACCTCTGTTGCCTTGGAGTCAGTTAGGTAAGTCCAAATTGACATCACATGTGAGTGACTCCCATTGACACATGCTGTATATCCCATGTAACCACATCATAACTCTCAGTATTTCAGAACACTGCTGGATGATTCATAACACACATAAAAGAGTCTAGTTTCAGAATGAAACTAATTCATTGGTTTGTATGAGGTACTTGTCAAAAGCCACCTGTAGTATAGGTCAAATCTCACACCAGTTCAAATCAATGGAAACCTTTCTTCCCCTCCAGGATTAGACCTGGCTAAAATCAAAGAACAGAATCCTGCTGACTGCAGCAAAACTATGGATGACATTGCCAATGTTGTCTATCACTAAGCACTTCTCTCAGTCTAAAATTATAATTCTTTCCCCCTGGTATTTTAACCTTGAAGAAAGGATGCATCCATCAGAACTATC